ATTTAAAAATTAACTCTCCCAGAGGATTTCTGAAGTAAGCCTCAAACTGATTCAGAAGATACTCAGTAGACCACAAAAGTAGAAAAATAATTATCAAGGGGCACATTCACGAATACTTTTGCAATCAGGTCAGGATGTCCATGTTCCAGTTTTTACCTAATTTAATATTATATTTGGGCCTTGTCATTTAAACTCCTAGAATGAGGAACAAATGTCTAGCATTTAGAGAATGACATAGGAAATGCTCCTTTGAATGCATGAACTCAAAGCATGAATTTAAAAATTCCAGCAGCTGTTGCTAAATTATATCTTTAAACAGAACAACTGAAGGAAACCCAAAATGCTAAAGTTCACTTGGAACAGTAAATATATTTGATTGTGTCAATCATTTCAGAAGGGACAAACTGACAGTCTGGTTTTTCTGCACCTGCCAATGTTAGTTGTGTATCCACACATATGTGGTAGTCCTCATTTTGCTTTGTAAGGTCTATGAAATACAGTATGATTATCTTGCAGGAATTGGGAAGGAGGATGAGGGGAGAATGACTCATTTCAACTGTTTCTCCAAAAAGATCATTAAGACAGTGGTATTTGCTCTCTGGAGCTCAACCTGAACCAGACAGGAAGCTCAGGAAGCTGTGTTTAAACCTGGTCCAACAGTCAAAGTTATCAACTCACAACACTCCTTAAGTCCTGTCACTCATGGAATCCTAATGCGTATCCTGAAGGTCACTTTCATCCCCTCCTCCACCATTTTCCTTCTCCGCTGTCACCACCAGTCAGTCACCCAACCCCAGAGAGTCACCTCACAGCCAGGCTGCCCTACAGACCTATTCACATCCATCACTCAAGGGTAGCTCTCACATAACCCTGAATTTTTCTTTCCCCTCTTGCCTATCCAAAAACCTATCTTTACTTCTGTCCCTTCATTATGGTCCTTACTGTGGGGGAACTGGCTAGTTAATCTGTGCCACAGTGTTCATGGGTGAGGCTGGTTTCAAGTGTAACCCACCCAGGGAATCCATCTTCATTTTAACATGGGCCTTTTGGAGGTAGGTAGGTTTCCATCAAATAGTGATGCCAATGCCAAATGTCATAGCTTTTGGCCAGTGAGTTGGGGGAAGATGGTCTTTTGTGCCTCTCAAATCACTCCCAAGTAGATACTTGTTATTATGTTTTAAATGTGGGATTGCCTCAGGTTTGGGGCATATAAACAGTTTCTGACTGATTACTAAATTTGCTAAATCTATGCCTATTTTAAAAATGTTGGATATTCACAAAATTTATATAATAGACAGGACCTGAACTTTCAAAGGAAAAATGAACAAAAACTCATCTACTTCTTTCTGTGATTATTAAAAAAATATGAAAAATGCAAAGATACTTAATAATAGTTATTTTTACAAACCTGGATGAAGTCAAATATGGTAAGAGGCAGAAGATCATCCAAGATTGCTATATCTTTGGAGAATCTATTAAGAATCCCACCTGTAATATAAAAGAAGATAAATTTCTCAAGAACCAGTAATTTTAAAAAGTCTTATCAATATATTTAATACTAAATTTGGATCAAAGAAGCATCCAGAACTCAAATAAGAATTAGCATGTAATCAGATAAATAAGGATTTAGAAAATTTTAGTTCTATCTAAAGATTCTGAGTAACTATGTGTTCAATTTATTATCTCCTACTTTCAAACTTTTATAAAATATAGATTCCCATAAGATTCAAATAAAAAACTAACATCTGTAATAGAGCCTCTATTATAAATTATGTCAGCAATGAGTACTCATCCTACTATTATCTCTACAGAATTCCTACCTGCCCACTACCTAGACCTCCTTTGCCATATTCTCTTTCTACCTTCTTCACTAGCAATCTAAAGCCTGTCTTCTAAATTCCAGACTCACATTTATAAGTCTGATAATTTGTTGCTTCAATGAAAAAGTGATATAGAGAGTGTCTACTATGTGTCAGGAACAATGCTAGGCACTGAGATAACAGGGGTGAATAAGCCATGCTCCTTGCCCTTTAGGAATTCATTGTCTAGAGAGGAGTTAAACATACAATTAGATAAAATGTAACATAATTCTGTACAAAGTGATATTGAATCTTATCATTTACCCCCCACTAACTTCAGGATAAAGTCCAAAATTCCTAGTTTAATATTTAATGCCTTCCATAATGTGGCCTTAAACCACCTAGCTAGTACAAGCTTCCTCTACGCAAATATCCTGTTTCAGCCAAACCGTCTATTCTTTAAACACACCCTGCACTTTCCTACCTCCCTGCCTTCCCCATGTGGTTCCCACTGCCTGAAAACCCTTTCCCCTCATCTATCCTGTCAAAACCTATGTCTCCTCCCTGGCCCAACTCAAATGTCCCTCATGCAAGGAAGCATTAGTGTTTGCTCCAGCTGGAATTAATCTCTTCCTCCTCTGGACACACTTAATACATCTTGTTTGCACCTCTGTGTTATAATGACTATATGCATGTCTTATATTGTAGTCACTTATGTACATGTCCTATCTCTTTTTCTGTATTGTAAATTGCTAGAGGTCAATGAGATCATGCCACATTTGCTTTGTTTCACCCACAGCCCCAGGCAAAAAGCCTAGTATATAGGAAAACATTTAATACATATTTATTGATAATATGTTCTTTAGCACAGTTAATTAAACATATTTGTGTTTTCCTAAATCAAAACTTGAAAAAAAATTGACACATAATATTTATAAATAGTGTTTAGAAAATGAAAGTTTGCTTTGGTGGAAAAAAACCATTGTGGTGTTTATTATATTTTCAACGGTGGTGTTCTGTCAAAATACACATTTACACTTTTATCCATCCAACATACTTTGCTGAGCACCTACTATGTGTCTGTGTCACTTAAGATCATTTTAAAGTGACATAGGAAAATCGGACAAATAGAGAAAATCAAGGTCAATGTACAATTGCAGAATGGCACACCTGGGACAGATTACAAGTGCACATAGATGGCAAGGAAGCACCGGTTGCTGCCAAATATAGCAGAGACTATCTAGGAAACAGTGAGAATAAATGAACTACGAATCAATAATAGAGACAGTTTTGAAAAGAAAGCATAATCCTTGCATAATCCAGAAAGGAGGGAAGGGAGAGAAAGGACATACAGATGTGATAAGATCATCTCACTATTTGAGTTCACAGGAACATAAATAAGGAAGAATACAAAAACATAGAGATGTTTAGGAATCATCCTACAAAGTGGATGAAAATTTGGCAAGTAAAACAAAGTAGAAAAATGAAATGAACAGTGATCATTTAAACACCAACGAGAGACGGTTTGGTTCAGAACCAACCATGAGCAGGGTTTAAGGAAATGAGGAGCTCAGAAAAGTACATAGGTGGAATGACAGTGCACCCCTGTGGTAGCGACACCCTACAGATGGGAATGACACTGGGGAACTAATATTTACTTCACGTTGGCTATGTAACAGGCAAGTAAATTGCCTTGTTTCATTCCTACAAAGATCCTCTGAGATAACTATTCTTTTCCCTACTTTACAGGGGAGGAGGCCAAAGCTCAGAAGAGTCACTTGCCCAAGATGACTGCTCTTATGAAGCCAAGCCAGGCCTCAAGCAACGCTCATATTCTTTCCACTGGATCTCACGGCTCATTTCTGACTCTGTCAGAAACTCAGGCGAATCCCTTGCCTTCTCTGGGTCTCAGATTTCCATAAAAACTGAAATCACTGGATCAAGTTAATTGGACATCCCCTTATGTCTAAAATTCTTATCTAATACAGAGGATGGGCCAGGTGCAGTGGTTACATCTGTAATCCCAGTGCTTTGGGGGGCCGAGGTGGGAGGATCACTTGAGGCCAGGAGTTGGAGACAAGCCTGGACAGCATAGTGAGACTCCCATCTCTACAAAATATTTTAAAAAATAAAACTGTAAAACAGAGGATAGTGATGAATATATCCAAATAAGGCAAGACTTTAGTGGCACATAAGGGCATCAGAATAAATTTATTACCTGGAAAAAATGATAGGTATTTCTTATTTTGAAATTTTTTAAGATACAAATTACTCTAAAAATCTCAATCTTGGAACTTATTCTTTGCTTTATAATCAAATTTTGTTTCTCTGTCCACCTCCTCCCCTCAAGGGCAAAAACTGTGCCTTATTCATCTTTATATACCTGCTCTTGGCTTAGTGTCTCACAGAGTAAGTGCTCAACAGATTGCTGTAAAAAAAAAAAAAAAACCTTGAGGGAATCCTTATTAACCTCAGAGTCGCATGTAAATTTCTCTAATGTGGAATCAGTGAAATTGATTACTTTCAAAGTATCTCATTACCCTAACTTTTAAAATATTTTAGTAACTCCACTATTCTTACTTGGTGTGACTTTGAATAAAATGGCATCAAAATTAGTTTTAAAATACATTTGGGATCCCCCCCAATGTAACCTTGAACAGTTAACACGAAACTAAATTATTCTACCCTATAAAAAGACTTTAGATGAATTTTATATTTTCCTTGATCACTTCAGATCTCCTCCTCTTTTGAACAATACTACACATTGGCAACAAAATGCCTAGAAGGAGGCTAGACTAGATATTTGACAAGAGAAGTACAACTAAGCCACAAGGGCTTGTTTGGGCTGCTTCAGTCCCACCAACATCATATTCTTAGAAATGGAGCTACTCTAATTAGCTAATGCGGAAATATCAGGAGCAACAATATATGATAACCTATAATATCTGAGGGATGTACATATCAGTCATAAGAAGGCTCAACAGAAGGCAGATGCCTCTGTACAAAAGCCAGCACCTCTGCTAGAAAACCTGTTAAACCACAGGCTCTACTGATGGTGGATCAGCAGTTTCATTTTGTATACCTAGTCAAGTACCTGCTTTTAATGCGTTGAGGGTTGACATGGGTGCTCGAAGAACAGAATGTAACATTTTGTGGTGTAAAATTTTTGACACTGTGATGAGAGTATGCACGAGTGGCAGACCCCTGAAGAATCCCAGAGCAAGCAAAGTATCGGCTACTCCCACGTAAATGTAAAACACATAATAGGCGCTGGTGCTGGTGATAATCACTGCATAGCTGTTATTTGCACTTGTAGTACCATTCCCTTTGTTGTAAGCAGGGATGCTGTAAAACAAAAAGGAAATTGTTATTTGGCAACCCAACTTGACTACTGAGTTTCCAATACATGTAAATGAAATGAAATTTGAGTCTAAAGAAACACGATATATTACATTAACAGAGTTTATGCCCTTAATCTCAAAAGCTTACTGCTGCAAGAAAGTAAATTAAGTTTTCATTTTCTCACCATTGAAATAGATAAAATTGATCTTTATTACATTAAAACACTCACAGAAAACACTAAATGATAATGTTGTTTCAGATGTTTTTATTGCATTTCATGGAAACTGAACGCAACTAAATCATTTAGAAATTGACAAAGAGATGCAGGAACTGCACGTGTGCACTACCTAAACAAAATAACTTGTTTTTCCACTACTATAACACTAGGGTGAAATGTAACACAGTGGATATTACAATATTTAATAGTAATCAGTGGAAACAAAACAATCCATAATAGAACACAGAATACTCACTTTCCAAGTAGCCACAACAGGACCAAAGAAACAGCCACCTGGAATGGGACAATACACAGTTGGTTTTTTTCTAACATCTTTACCTATTCCTCCCACATCCACCTCTAAATTCACCATGACCAACATCAAAGTACATACAATTTTATTTCCTTCGCTTTGCTTTCCTAGGTCCAGCGGCTACAATAATTGTACTAAGCACCATTGTTGGTGGTGAGAACATATTAAGTCAATGGAATTCAAATTTCACTGAAGTAAATACTTTGCCATTTCTCTCCTTAATTCAACAGGAACTATTCACTGAACCTCAGGAGAGCTAAGATTATAGCTAAATGTATTAAATAATAAACTGTGTCTTTTACAAAAAGACTAATCTCAGCCTGTTGGCAGATAACTAGTCTATTTAGTTGCTATAAATAATTTCATTTGTTGTTCAATGATTATGAGGGACTAATACCTGTGAGGACAATTAATTATTGAAAAAAGTAAGATTAATATTTTAAAAATGAACTATAAGTATCAACAGCATAAAAATTCACAGTTTATGAACAAAGATAAGGTACATTCATGTTAAAAAAGACATCACTGGTACTAGAATTACTTAGGACTTTGAGCTTTCTCAAGGTGGAAATATTTGGCTAAGGGAGAAATATTCTATACCATACCTAAACAAAAAAAAAAATTTTAACTGTGATTTTTATAGTCCTTTTAATATTTAAATCTTCTGTGCTCTGTTCTATTTCAGTTTGGCATCCCATTCTCCTTTGGAGAAATTTAATCTTGTGTTGATGCCATCATGATTGTAATATTAGAAATGACTCTGAAATTATCTAATTAGCCCATTTATGACTTTACCAGAAAATGAAATAGAAAAAACAAGCAATTGCAAGTAAAATAATTTTGGAAATGAACACAGAATAAAAGTAAATAGCGGAGAAACAAATACGCTTGGAATAAGATATCTACAAGGCTTATTTCATACTTGAATTTACCTTAAATATTTAAGAGTACTATATAAAAAACTTATGGGGAATATTTAGATTCACAAAGAAATTACATTAGGAAGTGCTATACTTTAAAGAGCTGTTTAAGTTTAGTTAAATTCATATATCAGATAGAAGCATAATGATAAAAAAATCTAATGGCATTATTCTCACTTTCCTATTTTTCTTCATTATACGCATAGTCTCCATGCACTTTATCAATAAAGGGAAAAATTATCCTTGTTTTCTTGAAATTCAAAGAAATTCAAGTAAACTCAAAATGACAAACTAAGCAATAATCTAGCTATTTCAAAATCTTTGTTAAAGTATAAATGTATTTATACATTTATATTTCTTAAGACTAATCAAATTACTAAAGATCCTAGATAAAGGTATATGTTATGAGTCACTCTTTGACTATTTGGTTATAATCATCTTTCGTTATTATATTGCCCTTTGCTCCAATTAAAGAAATGTCAATAATGCTTGCATTGTCGACATTCTTTGAATGTAATTCTCAGGAATAAATATTTTCTAATATTCACTAATGGAACAATAACCAAAGCAGTTTTCTAAAGAACTGGTCTAGTCACTGAAATACAAAGTTATTTCCTGGCTCTATCCACATTGAACCACCAACCCATGGCTTATTGACTAAAACAAAAACATTTTCAAGGACTTGATGTAATGACTTTACGAAAAATATTTGAAGCATATAGAAACAATTGAGTAAGCAAGTTCTAGCATTTTGTTTCCAAAATGTTTTGAGGTTACAAAGTTTACACAATTTATTGGAGAGTAACAGTTCTAGATGATTAAGGGAGAAAACTAAAAAGATCTTTATTTTCCATTTTCTTAGGGTTTTAAACATCATTCCATATCACATAGAAAACAGCATACTTAATATGCAGATTTCAATGCTTCACAAGTCAAATCATGCCCTAAAACATAGACCCATGCATGGTAAGTAAAGCCGTCCTAAAAGGATTACCATCTGTCAATAGCAGCAGTGGCATTATGGAATATACATCTCCAGTGTACTAATAATATAAAGCCACTCAGGGATTTCTCGTGAGCAAACAGAAGGGAAGTCATAAAGGAAAAGGATACAACAGTTCTCTGAAACATTCTTAAAAATCATAGAATGAAAGCATTAAACAGGATCTTCGGATACTCTGTTGACAATAATACCCTCTGGTTATTTTAAAAGGAACCAGGAAACTGCCTCCTAATTTTATTATTTGCATTTCTTCTCTCTCTAGTCAATGATGTACTGCCAAGCAGGAGTACTAGAAACTAACATAGAAATGTTATTCCTATTTTCTCGGTGCTAATATCCAAGAACTTACAGAAGATACTGCCCTATAGGGTGAAGGGAAATGGTACAAAAATATGAAGGCAGACTGACTCCTTTTTCAAAATGACATACTAACAGTAAATGCTAACAAAGTGAATAGACAAACTAATTTTCTCAGTTTAGCAACTTCAAAGAAATTTTAAAATGACTAAGTATTTCATATTGCAAAAGGGAAGCATGTTGAACCTACTCTATAAAAACATAAATCTAAATTGAAATACAACCCTCATGAAAACTAAAAATAGATAAATGACTTTCATCAAGGAAGAAATGAATCTTAACCTTTCTTTAGGTTCTCTGATCATGAGTATGAGGTTCTAAACAGGGCTTAAAAGAACTAAACCATCATCCTGGGTTAGCACCTGTACCACAATGTGAAGTACCAGCGAGATACTTTAATGGTGATGAGAAAAGGGCACACTGGTATTGAAAGAGGAGCTTAGTCTAAAAGAAAAACTAAGTAAATCTGGATTCCAAGAAGGCAACAGAATTGTGAACACCAGAAAATGAACTGTTTAGTTGCATATTTGTGCACATAATTTTAAAAATTACTATTTTCCACTATTACCAAGTTTTTGTTATTCAAAATTTTAAGAGCCAGTTAACTGGCAAGGCCTACAGGATATTGGCCAAAAAGGCCTCATCACTTATATTATTTCTTGCCCGGAAAAGGGCATTATCAATTGTTTTGTCCATTAAAAAGATGATTTTTTTAGAATATTTGTGAGAGTTCAACTAATAATGGGTAGATATATAGCATTTACATCCTCTGCTGTAATTTAGTTTCTTGCCCTAAAGAACTATTGTCTTCCTCTTAAGTGAGCCAATAATACTGTACACATGTATAGCAGCTCAACAGTCAATTATTTATTATATACCCTTTTGGAAGGTAGAAAACTTCAACTCTATGGAGCTGCATGAGACAAAGATCCTATAAATTAACAGAAATCACTACCACAATCAGATATGACCCCTTTTTCTTATATAAGTTGAAGACAATCAAGTAACGTGATCTTTCAATGAGGTTCAAATCATTAACAATTGTAAAGGGCCGGGCGAGATTAAATGAGGCACAGGCTGGGTTTCATGTACATTAATGTTGGTCATTTGGCAAGACTGGAAGAGATTAATGAGGGAAAATTGAAATGCATCTCAATTCAATATTTATTACTCATGTAAGAGTGTCAAATTACCCAACCTCACATTTTTGTTAAAATGTAAAAGGAATCATTGAAATTTCCACTCTATCACTGTTATGGACTCGTTCACCTCATATCATTTGTCATATCATTTGTAATAATGATGTGACATTAAAGATATTAATAATAACAGCAATTAGCATTGCTCACCATGCACCAAGCCCTACATTAAGTGCTTTGTAATCACAATGTCTCTTTAACCACAAAATGCCTATGAAGCTGGTACTTAGGTTAACAAACTTGTAAGTTTCATAGTGTTAATAAGACTGAGTTAGAGCTCACATCCAGAGAAGTCTGATTCCAGAGTTGACACTATGCTATATACTGCATCTCGCACCAAGCCTCCATTTGATTTGTTAATTTATAGCAGCAGGGCAAATAACAGATATTACTAAAACTCAAAGATCAAATGGAAACCAATAGTCTATTGAAGCAGTTTGTTCAACTTTTTGGTACATAACTTTAGATATTTAACACTATATTTCTTGATCACAGAGGAATGATGATACTTTATATAGCCTTCTTAATTGAGGTTAGAAATAGCCTAACAATAGGAAAAATGTATAGTTATTGAGTTTCAGTTTATACTTCCTTAGGACAGGCAGTTCTTCGCCTGGGTCATTTCTTCCCTGAAGGCAGCATGGGCCTTCAGGTTAGATTTAGGTTTTATACTGGGACATATCTGGGGTGTCCTCTGGAATAAATACCTGGAATCATCATTCACAGGCTGAATCCAACCCACAAATGTGTTTTGTTGTGCCCGCAGAGTGTTCGTTCATTTATTTTTACTTAATTACCCACATTTTAAAATGAGAAAAATTTACAGAAAAATCTGGATCTGTATCTCATCTTGATAAATAAGAAGATTTGGCAAGAATGATTCCAATTCCTTCATGACAAGGCAATGGCTGGTGCTGAGTGACAAGTGCCCCCTTTGGACAACTGGAGAACAAATGCTCTCCCCATTCGGCCTCCTGGCCACTCCACCCAGCGACAGTCCCTGCCAGGCCCTGTAGGCGTGGATGTGGCTGCTCCCAATCCACAGGAAAGCCTCAGCCACCACCCAGCTTCGGGAATCCCCCGTGCCGATGAGGAACTGAACTTGTGGCCCACTGTGCTATTTGCAGTCTCGCTTTTCTTTAACTCAGTGATGAAAAGGACAGCAGAAGTGTGGCAAAGAAACCACAATGATAACACTGAAGACAACAAAATTTCTGTACGCAAATGGGTGACTTGAATCTCTGAAAGGTCTATCTGAAATGATTCCTAAGCCACTGATATATATTTATCTCATTTTGTGAGGAAATATTTAAATAGTCATAACTTGCATATTTAATAATTCAATATCTATAGTCAAATGAATTTAAATTTAGTACAGAATTATTTTCAGTGTTTGATTTCAATCTAAATAAAGGCCTTCTACTTTCAGCTTTTGAATCTCTTAAAATTATTAAAATCTATCAAACACTCTTCATATTTTTTAAAAGTTGCCCCCTTTAGACAACTGGAAACAAAAATAAAAGCATATTTCATGTGCTACGCATGAAATAATAAAATATCAACAGTGATTCCAATTATTGATTTTTAGATGCTAAAACTATACAAATTCTACCATTATACATTGTAAAATTACATGCATACATATGTATATCAATATATGCATATACACACTTACATCTATTTATGTGTATACATCCTTCCAAACTATTTTTAACATTAACTCAAAGTAATATTGTATAACAGAATATTCTTACCTCAGCCAGAAAAATAACTAAGCACCAAATCAGTACAAAAATTAAGCTCTTGTGGACAGTAATGTACCGAAGGTATGTGTTCCAGGTAGTCACTGCTGGTATGCTCTCCACATCATCAAAAAAGCACTCCTGTAAAAAAGAATCATGGTTATGACATGAGACAATAGAGTTTCATGCTACCATGTCATTTTATTTTGAATGTGTGGAAATAAAGGAATGTATTAATAATTACTTGAAGCTAAGTAAACTTTACCAAATACAAATCATTATAAATATCATGTGTCATGTCACTCCATGGCCAGAATAATGTCCACTGGGGCAAGATAGCTTTTTGAAAAATGAGAAACGCCATAATTTTTCAAAATTCTAAAAGCCATTATACAAATGTGTTTTATTGTTGGATAATTTTACCATTTCTTTGTGTTTAGTGTTTTTGTTTTTGTGTTTTGCTTGTTTTTTTTTAGAGATGAGGTCTCCCTGTGTTGCCCAGGCTACATCCGAACTCCTGGGCTCAAGGCATCCTCCCACTTCAGCGTCCTGAGTAGAATAGCTGGGACCACCACACCGGCCGATATTATCATTGAAATGCTTAACAGTGTCACACTTTTCATCAAATGAATGGTCATCAAATGAAGTTTCCAAGAACTCTCCTTTACTTAACCTGTTTCTTCAGGGGTCCATGTACAAGTACAGGTTGGTAATTTGCTAGCTACAAAGGTCTTCCAACAGACTGAAAGCCAATTTATGCTTGTGCATTCCTCAGTGGCCTAGGATTCTCTCTTTTTCCAGCTATGACTTAAATTACATAATTCTAATCCTGGGTATATTCCCCAGGAGTCTTTGTATTTTGGCAAATATATTTCAAAAATTTGAAATAGGTTCCAGATAGTCCAAAGGGAAAATATAGTTTTGTTTTTCACGCAGTCAACAAAATTCATACAAGAAGTACTAGAATCAAAAGACAGGGTCCTATGCAATCGGAATATAGGGCAATAGTTAGGAGTACAAATTTTTGGAGTCAGATAGTTCTAGATTTGAATCAGGCTCCACCACTGACATGTTAGGAGCTGCTTGGATTTGGTCACATTGCTGAACTTCTCTGAACTTCAGTTTGCTTACCTATAAATTTGAAATAATGATACGTACCTTCCAGGGTAGTTGTGGTGACTAAATATATACTTACTGGCACTAGAGGCGATCAATAAATAGTAACTTATTAGTCAAGGGGATCATTTTTCACAACTAAATTTATAGGTTCAGTTTTGAGATACTACTCATTTCGATTGATAGTAAGCCATATAGATGAATTATCCTTTAGGAAACCTTTTTAAAGTTATAGAAATACTGAAATTATGGTTTTGGGGATCACCTATCCTATTCCATCATTTCACAAAGGAGGAAACTTTGGCCTAGAGAAGTTAAATGACTCGTGACTTGTCAAAGTTTACACTACTCTTAAATGATCTATGCTCTTAAACATATCAATTCACTACAACTCCACCCCTGATTCACTTCATCCAAGGTGTTTAAGTTTTCTAGTAAAAAACAACAAAAACTCTCTTCTTTTTATATTGGTTCCTGTTTTAAGAATTAAAAAAAGCATTTTAGTCTTAAAACTTAATATAACAGACTTTCTGTCTGAAAATTGGTACTAGTATATGTTGAGCTTCACATATCTTCTTTAAAAAGTAACTTTTTCAGAAACCTAATACATAAAGCAAATTCGAAAGATAAAAAAGCCCAAACTAACTAAATTCAGGAAAGACCGATATATAAACCAGTATCTGAGTTAGTCCAATTAAGAGACTAGATGTTTATATACCTTATGTATTTAATAGGCTACTTCCACACAAAAGTATTTCTTGGTCTGTAACTGAAGCTACTATTTATTTATATATTTATTTATATATTTATTTATATATTTATTTATACTCCACCTCATCCCACAGAGGGCTCAAGGTAGTAAAAAGCAGATGCTTTCTAATTTATAGTAATGATTATCACTGGCCTATGAAAAGACCCAACACTAAGCCCCTGCTTTGGCTTACAATACATTTTATGGGAAGAGATATGTTCGTTGCAAAAGTAAATAGTTGATTATTTTATATCCTGCAGCTGCTTGCATAATCTATGGATTTTTTACTTTCTGAATCTTAAACTCCATCCAATACCATAGTTTGTATAAGTTTTGTTACATATTACATATTGCACTCCATTCAATTATACTCTGTGGAAGGAAAAAAAAAACAAATAATTTATATATACCTTTAAATCTTCTTCATTAATTTCTTCACTTATTTCCAAGCTACTTTCTTGAGATAACCGTCTTGAATATATATCCATTTCAGTCAGATTTGCCGGAGGGGCTATCGACATTTTTCGTGTGGATGCTGTGGTCATTCGGTGAACGCTTTGACCTTGGTTAACTGAATGTGTCATCAGATTCAGAACAGACTGCCTCCTTCGTCCCTGAAACGTGGGGCCAGTGTTGATCACATTGCTTCGCGGCAGGATTGCCTCCCCCTGCTCAGAATCTGGAACTAAGGACAGCCTTCTCTCCGAAGGCTCATCAGAATCCTCTTCAATGCCACTCATTTGTAATGGAGTCTTTTGTACAACGGAAAATTTTCTTATAGAGTTGATTGAATTGAGAATAGAATTTTTCCTTTTTTCTCCAATCTCTCCGGTCTGTTTAAAGGATTGTCTTTTTGTTTCATTCCAGGAGACAGTAGCATCTCCTTCTAATGAGAAACGGCGTAAGGTCTCAGTTAGGATTGAATTTCTTCTTTCTGCACTAAACTGGTCGAAAGAATCATATCCCATGAGCTTTGAGCTAAAGTCCGGCCGTAGATTTTGTAGTTCAGAAAATGTCCCATAAAAATAGCTGCTACCTTCATGTAAAATTAATATTTTGTCAGCTTTCTTTAAATGTTCCATTTTAGAAGTGACCAAAATCCTAGTTTTGTTAGCCATCA